TCTCGCTCACACTGTCGGGGTCCTGCGAGGGAACCCGTCCTAGCATGCCCTCCTCGACGTATCCTATCCTCCCCCTTCCTCCCTTCCTCCCTCCTTCTCCTCTTCATGATATTCTCGTCCCCCCACCTTCCTCCCTCCTCCTCTTCAGGATATTCTCACCCCCCTGCCCCCTTTTCTTGCCTTCCTGTGGTTAGTCTATTCCTCCCCTACTTTCATACTTCCTGGTGTGTTTTCTTCCATTACTCCCTTCTTCCCTCTTTCGTAATGCATCCCCCTCGTCCTATCCTGTGCCTCTACTCTCCCATCTTCACCCCTACGTAGTGCAACCCCCCCCCCCCCATCCTGTGCGTAAAATTTCAGTAAAATCTCACTCTTCTCCTGAATCCCAACTCACTTTTATACACAAACAAAAGAAAAAAAAAGAAGAGAAAACTATTTAAACTTATCTGTTTATCCTCTCTAACTGATATATTGTTCTGCAGATTTATTTATACTTGAAAAAGAGAAGAAGAAAAAGAAATTAATAGAAAAATGAATCAGGTTTGTGTTACCCATAGCTTGGAATTCCAGTTCGGAGCTTGGTGTCGGATATCTTTCTTGCCTTAGTTGTCAAGACAGAAGCTTGAACAGTGGCTTGAGTAAATAATAAACTTCGATCTATAGCATATGAACAATATTTTTAAAGCGAATGTCATAAAAATAGCAAAGACTTGGAGGTCATGGATCTATTATCGCTCGTTATGGTGTTGCGTAAGCAGGGAACGGTTTGTATTTTGTTTATGTTGGAGTTGTCTATTGTATGTAGAGTTGATAAAGTTTATGCTATATTCATATGACACACATACATATATATACACACACACATATATAGGCACACACACACATATATATATATAGGACACACACATACTTATATAGATAGATAGATAGATAGATAGATAGATAGATAGATAGATAGATAGATAGATAGATAGATAGATAGATAGATAGATAGATAGATAGATAGATAGATAGACAGACAGATAGATAAGTAAGTAGATAGATGGATAAGCAGACAGACAGACGAAAAGAAAGACAGACATATTCCTATTTTTCCATGTACGTTACCAAAATATCAGATGTCAGTTTTCTCCCTTCTTATGTACATTTTCGTGTCATGCAATCACTAGCACGTCCTCACGTTATCATTCTTCATAAGTTTCACTGTCACTCCGGCAGTTCAAAGCGGTTATGTTCGCCTTTTTGACCTGGCGTTTTTTGCGACTCAGAAGCGTGCTCCATATTCGCTTGTATTGCTATTTATTCCTTTAAGTATCAGTTTTATCTTCGGAAACATGCTTTGCAGAGAGGATTTTAAAGATGTTTCCCTATACAGTGCATATCTTTTTACCAATTTATTTATTTATTTATTTTAAATTATTTACTTGTTCTTATTCCTTTAAAATGGAACCTTAAAGAAAAATTATTTAACCAGATGGTCTTATTCCTCTAAATTGGAACCTTGCTGAAAAGAAAAGAAAAAGAAGAAAAATAAATACACAGGTTTCCTCGCTTTATAAACGAAGGAAAAATGGCTGCCATGGAAGCGAAGCGACCCGCCAAATGGGTCATCAGCCCGACTTTAACAGCGGACAGCAAAACAGGCAGGAAGCGTTGTATAAAGGCCGGATGTTAAACTTATTGTGGTGACACTGAGGAACCTCCCTCATGTGGGCTGATGATGTCGAACTCTTTGACCTTTCATATACTTATTTCACATCCAGCTGTTTGTCTCCCGGGGTGTAAATTGGAACCAAACGTCAAACAAGTATTGGCTCTGTATTACTAGTGTTTTTTTTTTTACAAGGAGTTACGTTCTGTTAGCAAGAATTTCGTGATAATGTCATCACAGTCTGTTTATAATTTTGTGTAATAGATTTTAGACTGATAACGTAACGTGTCTCTAAATGATACAAAACAGTTCCTTTTAACTCTTTATAAATCACGTCTCAAAAGATAGTAGTTTGGAAGGAGTGTTACAGAAAGGACACTTTGGATATAGTGTGATACGTATTTCGATCTGCCGTGACAGTGAATTTTCCGAAGTCGGATAGAAATATAGAAAATTGGTGTATGAGAGGGAATTGGAGAAAAGGATAAAATTGGTGTATGAGAGGGAATTGGAGAAAAGGATTGGTGTATGAGAAGGAATTGGAGAAAAGGATAAAACTGGTGTATGCTGTATGAGAAGGAATTAAGAAAAATGGAAGTTTAAAAATGGCGGATAAAATTGGTGTATGAGAAGGAATTGGAGAAAAGGATAAAATTGGTGTATGAGAGGGAATTGGAGAAAAGGATAAAATTGGTGTATGAGAAGAACTGGTGTATGAGAAGGAACTTAAAAAAGGATAAGAATGGTGTATGAGAAGAAATTGAAGAAAAGGATAAAATTTGGTGTGTGAGAAGAGATTGAAAAAAGTGATAAGACTGGTGTATGAGATGGAATTGGAGAAAAGGATAA